ATTTGAGAAAAATTTTAGCCTACTCTCTTTTCAGCCCCACAGTCTTTCTCTTATCTTTGAATGGCTTCCATGGTATGGATATTAGAATTTCAATTTATTTTCTCTCTTATTCAGATTAATTTGGATAATTTTCCTTCCATTTTATTGATTATTATTTGTCATCACCTCTATTCCAGTGTCGGGCCCATCCATTTAGCTGTTATTTAAAAATGTTACTAATATTATATTTTTTAGTTCTTACCTATCCCTGCTGTTCTTTACATCTTCTGTATATATATTTTTAAGTTTTGGTTTTCTTTGCTGAGAGTGTCTATGTTTTGTTCCAAACATATTTTCTATGGTTTGTATGTTTATCCCCTTTAAAACTAAAGTCAAAATTTAGTTGTCATTGTAACAGTATTAAAAAGTGAGACCTTTAAAAGGTATTGAGATTTTTAGATGAATGAACTAATGCTATTATCATGGGAGTGGCTTTGCTCCCTCTCATGCCCACCTCACCTACTCTCTCCCTCCCTCTCTGCCCTTCCAATATCTGATGCCTTCCATCATGTATGATGCAGCAAGAAGGTCCTTGCCACATGCCAGCACCTTGGTATTGGACTTCCCAGCCTCCAGAATTGTGAGTGAATGTATTTCTGTTCATTGTAAATTACCCAGTCTCAGGTATTCTGTTATAGCAGCACAAAATGGACTAAGACAATATTCATAACTGATTGTTGGAACATTTTTATAATTATTTAAAATTGTTGTCACTTAATTGTAATATAGCTATCATTTTTAGTTTGCCTTGTTCAATGTCTTTTCTCAGATATGAGATTTTCCAGGTTCTTGCTATGATGAATGATTTTTAAAATTTAAGCCTATTTTGTTTATAATGGCATGAGACTACACATCTTATGAATATCTTGTATTTTAGCAGACCTCCTCCATCATTGCTCATGTGCCAACTTGTTATTGATCAGTGAAATAAAATGTCCACTTTCTCTACTAGTCGAGAGGACTTATTACTGTTGGGAGGGGGAGAGCAGAGTGATATATTTTATAGAGATAGATATGAAATATATAGATGTACACACAGACACACACATATGTATTTTAATATATTACCTATAATATATACACATATGGTACCTATAAATATATACAGTACATATGTAATATATGTGTATATGTATATATTTAAAAAATATAAAATATACAATAATGTCATTGTATCAGCATTTAACTGAAAGTATCACTGCAGGGTGGGAATGGGATTACATATAACAATTAAATTACATAAGAGAGTCCCTGGCACACTCTTGCATTTGATCAACACTTCGATGTACTGAAAGCTGTGAACCCAGTTTAAGGATCAAAATTTCTGAGGAATTGTAAGAACCCAGTCTCTTCATTTTATAAATGAAGGAACTAGGGACAGAGAGTAAAAGAAAATCTCAGTTAGTAAATACATTAATTATAGTGCTTATTGAAAAAATTGCATCTTTGTTCTTGTTTTAATTACACCAACCTCTATGTTTGCCTTTCATTTCTATCGAGTGAGTTTATTAACAGTGTGTAGGCATTGTAACATGTATTACAAATAGGACATTAGAGAAAGCATTAGAAAAACTATTGTGTCTATATCACACAAACTCAAATTTGAAGGGTATTTTAAGTAAAAATGTAGAACTTCCAACCTTCGAGAAAACTTAGTAAGCAGCACTGTGGAAAAAGACAATAAGAAAAAAATCATTAGATTCAAATTTCTTGGTATCCCCCAAAATATATATGAGCTCATACTTCAGGTTGTCACAGAATAAAAAACATACACACATATTCCCTCTGGATGGCAATAGAACAGCCAATAAAGTACACTGGACACTACCTGGTGTTTTCTCTAATCAAGGAGACCTGGTGGGACTTTTCTAATGAAATGCCATGGGACAAGCTGGCAGACCAAAATCAGGAGTGTGAGGTGTGAGGTGTTAGTATCCAGCTACATTCCACTAATTATTCCAAGTGAATAAGATTGTGTACAGAACTGCAGTCATGGTCCTTAAGAGAATTATGCTTTGCTCTCAGTCCACTGTTTTCCCAAAGGACTATGTAGAACAAGTTGAAAATTATTTCAGATTCTTTAAAAATACAAGAAGGGAACTTCATACATTAACTTCATTACTTTGTCCCTGGTACTCTGGGTAGTAGAATAACTATCAAAGAAAAGAAAACATGGAGCAGCAGTAGAATATTATATTTTGAATCCTCCTAGGTAAGTCTAAATACTCAGATCTCATAAGGTTGCAGGAAAAGTAAGTGAGGGGAAAAAAACCCCCTGGGCTGGATATGACCAGGTATATGCAAAGATGCTGATTCCTATGTGTATGCAGCTTTTAATCATGGAGCTGATTTATACAATCTTTAAATTTCCTTTGAAATGAACACTTTAATTATTTCAAGATTTTTTTTCCTCAAATTTTTCAGAATAAAACTAGAGACCATGCTTACAAGGATCAAAACTTTCTCTACGTGGTGTTAACTCTCAAGCTTTACATCTGATCCAGTCCCCTGTAAGAATGGTTATCCCAATGGTCATTATCAAGCATCCATATTATCATATACATAAAGCAGTTAACCTACTATGAGAAGCAATTTTCATGAGAATCATAAAATCTAATCTCTTCATTTTTCAATTGAAAGAAGTAGAAATAAAGTATAGAAGAAAATCTAGGTCAGAAAACACATTCATTATGGTGCTTATTGGAAAAACATCTTCTTCAGCCTTATTTCAATTTTATCACCTTGACTCCATGTCATATGATCCAACTTCTTCATTTTATAACTGAAGGAACTAGGGCCAGAGAGTAAAAAAGGAAAAAAAAATAGAAAATACATTAATTACAGGGCTTATCAGAAAAATGGAACATTTGGTCTTGTTCCCAATTATACTATCATGATTCCATGTTGGCCTTTAATTTTTGTCAAGGGCATTAACTTTTAGGCATTGTAACATGTATTACAAATATGACCCTGGAGGAAGCATTAGAAAAACTTACCTGTTTCTACATCACACTAGTTGGATTCAAAATATGTCTTCTCAAAATGCTGGGAATAAGCTTTAAAAAGACACAAAAAGGTATAACTTCTAAAAGATTTTGAAATGATTCCAAAAAGACACTCCTAATGAGGTGATGAAGGGTGCCGTAAAAACAAAACAAAACAAACAAAACAAAAGGAAAAAAAAATCAACAAAAACTATTGTTTCTTCTTGCACATTCTGGATAAACTCATAAACTGCTTGTTCAATAGTGCAGCCTGGCTAGTCAAGGGAGCCCCTCTACTTGCAGCATGGTGAGAGGTACAGGGTGCCAGACTCTACATTACTATGCTTGCTCAACACCAGAAGCACAGACATTTGACTCATTCCATCTGATGTTTTTCTGATGTAGGCAAATCAACCTTGAGATATGTGAATTTGAAGTAGTTCTTAGATTAGATGATTAGATCATCAGCTGCCTTGATTGACTCCAATGTTTGTATTACAACAAATAACACTACATGGATGCCACACGTGAATGTGTGTCATATAGAGGTTCTAATGTCTAACCCGTAAAAGTTGTTAATTCTTCTTTCTCAAGAAACTATGAACTTTTGACATCTTGGAAGAAAATTATGTTGGAACTTCATTACTTTTTTTCTTTAGAGATTAGAAACTAATATACATATTCTAGTAAATGTTAAGTGATCTGCAGCTAAATGTAGACATTAATGAAACATTCTGCTTTTCTTCCTTAAAACTGTCGTGTTGCCTTCTTAAAATATTTCCTACATTCTATTCTTTCTCAGATACTAAATTATTCCTCTTCATGGAAGAGTGAATTTCTGCCTGGAGATGCGGTTCACCATTGCTCAGTTTGTACTTATTATAGTCACTTTTACGTCAACTATTTCTCTGTAAAGCACACTTCCATCTTGTCCCTTAAAAACACTGGAGATACTGTCTGAGCGTAACTGTGTAAGAGTGTGCGAGTGTTGTGCATACATATGGACGAGGAGCAGGCGGGGTTAGAAAAGGTGAATCTTGTTTCTCATATCGCATATCCTCCTGCTTATCATTTATTGCTACTATTATCTTTTATAATTATAGTATGCTTGCCCAGATATAAGCCTTCTGTTACACCTGTTAACACTTTTAACATCTTCTTTTGCTATAATCTCTCATTTGTCTTTTTTTTGTGTAATTTATTTAATCATAAAATTAAATAGGAATATTTTTAATTTCTGTGTATAAAGTTGGTGAGTACTAAAACAAGTCCATACACAAAAAATATTATGAGACTATATTCTCTTTACTTGAGATGTTTTAAACACCCCTGTGTTTTGCCTGTTTATTTTTAAATTCAAAATAGTTCATGATAAATTTTATAAAGATACAGACTTTATCAATAAATACATCAGGTCCTATAAAGGAGAACACTTTCAATATTCTAACCACTCACTCAATAGATATTCTATTGTAACACATACTAGGAGTGACATTATGAGGAGTTCAAAAAGCCTAACATCCGTTTAAGGAGAGCGAAAATGTACGTGTCTTATAAATGCAACCTCGAGGAATTATTTTAGGAATATAAATGCATTATTAGAAGGGTGGAGGCTTAGCATAAATCTCATCTGTCTGTTGTCCCTCAGTAGGAAAACACAGCGAAGGACATGACCAACCACACAGCAGTGATGGAGTTCTTCCTCATGGAATTCTGTGACACCCAGGAGCTCCAGGTTTTGCTTTTCTGTTTTTGCTGATTTACATGGTGACTCTCATGGGGAATCTTGTCATTTTTGTCCTTGTCACCATGGACCAATGTCTTCACACCTCCCTCTACTTCTTCCTGAAGAACTTATCGTTGCTTGATGTTTGCCTGGTTTCAGTCACAGTCCCGAACTTCGTTCTGAACTCTTTGTCCCACAGGAGCACCATTTCTTTCGCAGCATGTGTGTTACAGGTCTTCCTGGTGATTTACTTTGCCGCCGCTGAGCTTTGCATCCTCACGGCCATGTCCTATGACTGCTCTGTGGCCATCTCTCACCCGCTGCACTATGCTGTCATCATGATCAGGGGAGTCTGTGTGCAGGTGGTAACCGTCTCTTGGTTCCTGGGGAGTATCTTTGGGGCCTTATATTCAGCAGGAACTTTCACTTTATCTTTCCGTGGCTCCAGAAAACTCTCACAGTTTTTCTGTGATGTCCCCTCTCTACTGAAGATTTCTTATTCAAACAGTCATATTACCATTGATGTTAGTGTCGCAATTGGGGTCATTTATGCTCTTTTCTGTTTCGTGTCTATTGGATTTTCATATATTTACATTTTAATACAGTGCTAAAAATGCCATATGTACAAGGGCAGTCAAAAGCTTTCTCCATCTGTGTGTCTCATCTCATAGTTGTGATCACATTTATGACAGGAACCATTGCCTGTCTGAAGCCAGTTCCTGATTCCCCACATATTGTGAATTTTTTGGTGTCTGCATTCTATTGTGTTGCCTCCATCTCTGATATCCATAGTATACAGCCTAAGGAACAAAGAAATCAAGGCATCTTTGTGGAAGATTCTGTTGAAACTAAGCCAGTACAGGTTTTATGCAGAAAAACAGTAAAATTAATGTCTATTATAGAAAGGCTAAAATCTTGGGGCTTTTAGTGATTATATGAGTTCTTTATTATCTAAGGTCGATACATTAACAGTTTTTCTTTAAAATGCTAGAAGGTTGACATATTCATGATTATTAGTCACCAGTCATTATCTCAGGAACTTGAAGATTTGGGTATTTCTGGTCCACGTGGTTCAGGCTTCAGCAGCACTGTGCTCGGCTTTCGAAGGCTTACAACAGCTTTCCATGATGTCCACCTCTTAACCCTTGGAACCTGTTAAAATATTACCTGGCAAAGGGCACTTTGCAGATGTGATTAAATTGAGGAGTGAAGGACCTTTCTAAGATGTAGTCAGTGTGAGGTATGTCTACGGAAGGATCATCTTACATGCCTTACACTGCTGTCTTTGAGGATCAAAGGTAGCCACGAGTCAAAGAATGTGCGCAGCCTCTACAGGTTAGCAATGCAAAGAATTAGATGTTCCACCGGAGTCTCTAGAAAGGAATGTAGCCCTGACCTTGATAGCAACCCCTTGATTTCAGCCCAAAGTGACCTGTATCAAAATTCCCAATTATAGCACTGCAAAATAATAAATTTGTGTTTTTTTAAGCCATGGAGTTTTGGGTAATTTGTCACAGCAGCAATAGAAAATCAATACATGCCTAAAATGCTTGTCCCCATAAATGTCTCTTAAATCAGCATTTCTCTTGGAAGCAAGAATGCAGACTATGGCACTGAAATCTTAGGATAAAGTGAGGAATATTGAAAAGAACACATGCACACATAAACCCTACTCTCAAAATTTTCACAATAGAGTGAACAAATATAAATTTTGTTTATGTATTTATCAACTATTATTTTACAAATAAATAAAACGTATTTATTTTAATTTTTAGCTTGAGTATTTTGACTTTGTGTTTTTAAATTTTTTAAAAAATGAGATTATTTTTTATTTATTTATTTATTTTATTTCTATAGGTTTGGGGGCATAAGTGCAAGTTTTGTTACACATATATATAGTGTAGTGGTGAAGTCCATCACCCAAGTAGTATACATAGTATTCATTAGGTAATTTCTTGTCCCACAGCCTCCTCCCACCCTCCCACCGCTCTGAGTCTCCAGTGTTTATTAGTCTGCTCTCTGTGTCCATGCATACACATTATTCAGCTCTCACTTACAAGTGAGAATATGTGGTATTTGACTTTCTGGAAATTAACTTAATTACTTGAATTTATTCAACTGATCAATTCCCCAATTCCTTTTTTTTGGTTGTTGTTGTTGTTGTTATAGTTAATACCCAATATATTAAGATTGGTTTTTTGGTGGCCAATTGTTTGGCATTTATTCTCCCAGCCTACTACTGGCTTTTAAGATTATTTCTACTATTATTTTATATATTTTTAAAATATAAACTAAAATGTATTTTACATTGCATGGAAGGATTAAAAACTAAAAATCGTTAGCTTAAGGCTTTATTAAAATACTGCAGAGTCAGAGCAGCTCTTAGATGAATGTTTTGCAGGAAGCAAGTAATTTAAACATTTAACAGAATAGATTGGAGAAGATCAGTGCTTATCTGTTCAAGAACTGTTTACTATTCAAATTCTTGATAAGTGTGTGCAAACATGTCATTAGTTGCAGAACAGGATGCAAGGACGGAAAAATTGAGGCTGCTTTTTAAAAGCCTTTGATTTTTTAATTTAGGTTTAGCAAAAGGAGGCACAATCAGGGCTAAGGTCTAGTGAGGGCTAGTTGGAAATTCTCAGTCTGCCAATATTCTCATCACAGGGCCATTCTTTTCCACTCTCGAAATCACATCTTTATTCGTGTTTAATGTGGATCTTTTTGAACTCTTATGATTTTAATTATATGACATTTTTGATACATTGTTTGCTATTTGGCATCTATTATTTCTCTCAACATGCCTGTTAACCCCAACAGGAGTTATTGGACATTCCACTTTCCTTTTTTATCTTTATCTGAGACATCTAATTTGCCAGATACCAAATTTCGATCTCTATTTAGAACTCTGATTTTCCATGAAAATGAATTAATATATTCATTTACTTTAATTCATCATAGAACAGCTGACTCCTCAGTATTTTCTTTTTCAGAAAGTTATGTTAACATTTTACACATGGTTGAAGTGCTAACACATACCTAATGTTAACTCTGTAGTATTTAATAATTTAGTAAATGTAAATCAATTATTACATTGCCTGTCAGAAATATATACTCAACAACAGGAATAGTAATTAATATACTACTTCTACTAAATCATAAAGATACAGTCAATTGATGTCATTACGAATTTGAATTAGATACCATTGCAAAATTAATTTTTTTATTTCAGTTTTTTTGAAGTTGACATATGCATATTTCTAATGATAGGCAATAAATAATTTTTAGAATTGTTTTTTGTGCACATGACATTTCATTGTAAGTGGTGCAAAAATAGTGGTAATAAACTTCAATTTCATAGCCAGCCATGCTCTTGTGGTGTCAATAGGTCGTGGTGGTTGGAAGGACACAGAACACGGAACATGGAATCACATTTCTTCTCCCATGATGGGGTTGGAGGCAGGAACACATCTCTGGTCTCATCTCAGCTCTCCTCCTGCCTACGGCTCAGGGCCCAGGCCTCTGCTCCAATCTTAGGAATGGATTCTGCAAATTCTTTTTTAAGCAGAGGGCCCATGGGTACTGATTCCAACTCAATCCCAATGCAAGAAGAAAAAAAAATCCCTGCTAAAATGCTTGGAATACCTGTGTGTGAAGATGTTGCCTAGGCGCTGCCTGCCAACCACAAAATACCTTATAAAGCTTGTAGCTTTTTTGGGGGGAAGGGCATAAAGAGTGATTTATGACCATTGAATACAAGGTGGAATGATTGCGTCAAGTTAGTTAACATATCCATCACTCAAATATTTCACATTTTTGTGATGACAACATTTGAAAATTACTCTCAGCAATTTTGAAATGTACAGTACTCAATTACTAGATATAGTCACCATGTCGTACATTAGATCTAAAAAAAAAAAATCAAACTTATTTTTCCTATCTACCTGAGGCTTGGTACATTTGGACTATTATCTTCCCATTCCCTGCATCGCCCAGCCTCTGGTAACTACCATTCTACTCTCTGCTTCTTTATATAT